TGCAGTGCAGTGCAGTGCAGTGCAGTGCAGTGCAGTGGTCTCCCCCAAAAGAAAAATCACCTGATGATGGCCCATGTGAGGCCAAAACATGTTGTAGTGAACTAGAAAAATGCATGTAAAAATAGAGACATTTCAGAAATGTAGATAATCGCTTTTAATATATAAAATAAACACTTTTAGTGTCCTATTGACATTTTAATGATTTTAACAGCATAAAGTATTAAGATACATTTTTAGTGAGTGACATATTCTTGATGTCTTTTATATTGTTGCATTATTGACGTGTACTCTAATAACAAGGATACAACAGAACATTAGTACAGGTTCAGCCATTTCATTGCAAGTTCCTCAGTTGAATGCCTGCAGAATGTTCAGAGAGTGTAAAGCATAATGAGTAGTTTCATAATCCTTGCCTAACAGTAACAGAGAGGTCAAATCAAAGACAATGAGACTGGCAAGGAATGTAGCATGCATGCAAGAACAAAAGTTCATATAACGTTTTGGCAGGGAAATCTAAAGGAAAGAGGCCACTAGTAATACTAACAAATAGATGGGAGGATAATATTAAAACGTATCTTAAAGAAATAGGATGGGATAGTGTGGATGGCATTTACGTGGCTCAGGATAAGCATCAATGGTGAGCTCTTCTGAACAGTGTAAGGAACTGTCAGGTTTCATACAATGCTAGGAATTTCTTGAGTAGCTGAGCGACTGTTCATTTCTGTAGAAACAATCAGCTCTTTGGAGTTAAGATTAAAAACTTGTTAATCGGAGGTCTTGGAATTTAAGTTTAAAAGGAAGATGCATATAAGATAATTCAACAAAGGCTGGTTCAGCCAGATGTTGGAGGACATCCAGAGGACAGGGAAGAACTGGCAGGATATCAACCCATGCAAAACANGTGAGCTCTTCTGAACAGTGTAAGGAACTGTCAGGTTTCATACAATACTAGGAATTTCTTGAGTAGCTGAGTGACCGTTCATTTCTGTAGAAACACTCAGGTCTCTCGAGTTAAGATTAAAAACTTGTTAATCGGAGGTCTTGGAATTTAAGTTTAGAAGGAAGATGCCTATAAGATAACTCAGCAAAGACTAGTTCAGCCAGATGTTGGAACACATCCAGAGGACAGGGAAGAACTGGCAGGATATTGGAAAGGAAGAAGTGCATGAAAAAGGGAGAGATTGCAGACTCGTCATCCATCAACCCGTGCAAAACGNTCGGAAGGAGATGAATGATCATCTTAGTACCCCAGGCACACTATTTGAAACAAAGATTCTCCAGTACCCATGAACAGGACACTGGTTGGGAACCAAAGCCTGTGTCAGAACACAATGAGAAGAATCTATTTCACCTTCTAGGAATTGAACTACAACTCTTCGACAANAGGTCTTGGAATTTAAGTTTAGAAGGAAGATGCCTATAAGATAACTCAGCAAAGACTAGTTCAGCCAGATGTTGGAACACATCCAGAGGACAGGGAAGAACTGGCAGGATATTGGAAAGGAAGAAGTGCATGAAAAAGGGAGAGATTGCAGACTCGTCATCCATCAACCCGTGCAAAACGGAAATGAGGATAGGAAAAGATGACGCTTGGGCTCTTCACAGCAATCAAATATTTCCACAAAAAAACTTATATGTTCTGTTTCTCCCAAAGCATCAGACAAGATGGCCTTTCAGTCAGTCAATCCTAACCATGTCAGTGAAATGAAAAGTTGTCCCTGAACCATGCCTGACATCGGAAGGAGATGAGCGATCATATTAGTATCCCAGGCACACTATTTGAAGCAAAGATTCTCCAGTACCGATGAACAGGACACTGGTTTGGAACCAAAGCCTGTGTCAGAACACAATGAGAAGAATCTCTTTCACCTGCTAGGAATTGAACTACAACTCTTCGACAGCCTAGCCACTACAATGACTGAGCTATGAGGTGCTATTGGAAACTTCCCACACTGTTATTGTTGCAAATGCCTTGGTGAAAGAAGATGAGAATTGAGGCCAAAGTCACACTTCTGCAAGCCTATTGCATCAATCTGCCATGTGACACCACACTGTGAACACACATTGTTTTTACACAAGTGCTTTCTCAACTTCGTGTTTTGTTTTCTCTGCAATGGATGGCAAAATTGAGCAACAAGTCTGCATCAAGTTTTGCATGAAGCTCAGCAAATCCACTACCAAAACCCTTGAAATGCTTTGTGAGGCTTTGGGGGAACATTCCTTAAGCTAGACAGTGGTTTCTGAATGGCATTCAAGTTTCAAGGCCAATTGAGTGTCATTTGAAGATGACGAATGTTCAGGGCTACCAAGCACCAGCAAAACGACAGAAAAAGATGAAAAAATTTGAGAACTCATCCATCAAGACTGTCGCCAAACAATCCATGAGCTCACAGACACTGCTGGGATCAGTTATGGAGTTTGCCATGAGATCTTATCAGAAAATTTGAACTTGCGCAGCAATATCATCAAGTTTGTTCCCCGACTCTTGACAAATGATCAAAAGTAGTGGCACATGTGCCTTGAGCTATGAGAGGAAGTTAACGAGGATTCCACTTCTATCTCTAGGATCATAATGGGTGATGAAAGTTGGATTTACAGTTACGATCCAGAAACAAAGCAGCAATCGTCTCAGTGGAAGAGCCCATGATCACCAAGAGCAAAATAGGTGCAGCAAGTCTGCTGTTTAACAAAGAGCATGCGCACTGTACTTTTTAATGTAAAGAGGATTATTCACCATGAATTTGTTCCTCCTAACACTATGGTCAACTCTGACTTCTACTGCGATGTTTTCAGATGCTTGAGAGAAAATGTGCAACAGAAAAGACCAGAACTTTGGCACAACCACAACCAGGTCCTTCATCACGACAATGTGCCCGCCAACACATCCCTGAAAACCAAAGAGTTTGTGACTAACAACATGGTTATCTTTCCCCATCCTCCCTACTCATCATCAGACACAGCCCCCTGTGATTTCGCTTTGTTTCCCAAATTGAAAATGAAACTGAAGGGATGTTTTGAAACAGTGTCTGACATCCAAAGGGAATCACAAGCGGTACTCGACAGAATTAAAGAAAATGACTGCCACGGTGCTTTTGAAGCATGGAAAAAACAATGGGACCACTGTATACGTTCTTCCCAAAGAGACTATTCTGAAGGAGATGGCAGCCAAAATTAAGGAAGTTAAGCCAGCATTTCTTTTTTGACCTAGTCCGGGAACTTTCCAATAGCATCTCATATTCAGCTCCCCACCCATACCTCTGAAGTGTTAATGTTGGCGATGAAAGTGAAGAGTGTTCAACTGCCACATTAATGAGAATTTGCTGTGCTTCTTGAAGTTATTATTTTCTGACTACTATAGAAGATAGAAATTAGAATCTGAACCTGCCTGTTCCCACAAAAGGATCCAGTACAAGGTCTCCAGGTTGCACCAACGCCTGGTTCGCCATGTAGAGGGACAGTTGTGGGTCCATACTTGTGTTCCCAATGAACTTCCTTGTCTTGAGTGACAGCATGGTGATCACATCTCTCTGACCATCTGCTATCTGCAACAGATGGCGCTCTAACCATTGCATTGGCTCTCAGACAAGTCTGACAGCAACTGACAATGCCATAACCACCCATTATACTAGTATTTCATGCATGAAGCCAAATTTATAAGATTTTTACTGTGGTCTTCCATGTTATGACACTATGTGGTAACCATTATTTTTGAGGAACCTGTTGCCTCTATCTTCAAATCCTGAAGAAAGAGGCATTATGTTCCTCTCAAACAATGGTAACCACCTAACAGACTACACAGTGTCATAAACCCAGAAGCCCATAATCTGAATCTTCGTCTCATATAGAACGAATAGTTTTCTTATTAAGGCTCCCACACACAGACGCGATACTCAGCTCGGTATGGTACGGGACGATATCTAATTACATTGCGGTTAATGGCGGTCCGCACACTGGCGCGGTACTCCGAGGAACGCGATATTATCGCAGTCGGTATATCGCCTCGGTATTTCGGTCTACCGAGCGCACTCGGCAGACCGCTCGGTATCGCAGCGGTAAATAGTCATGGATGAGTCTTTGGAGGAAAAAGTTTTGCTTTTAGCTGTCGCTCTTGATGAAGACGAAGGTGAATCCCGGCAAGTATTTTACTGAACACTAAATCTGCGTAGT